CCTGACCCACGGATCCGATCCAGCCCCATAGATCCTGACCCACAGATCCGATCCTGACCCACTGATCCAGCCCTGACCCACGGATCCGATCCAGCCCCATAGATCCTGACCCACAGATCCGATCCTGACCCACGGATCCAGCCCTGACCCACGGATCCGATCCTGACCCACTGATCCAGCCCCAGAGATCCAGCCCTGACCCACAGATCCGATCCTGACCCACAGATCGTTTCCTGACCCACAGATCGGATCCTGACCCACGGATCGGATCCTGACCCATAGGTCCCTGACCCACTGATCCAGCCCTGGCCCACGGCTCCGTCCCAGCCCCACGTCCTGATCCGTCACTGCTGTGTGGCTCTGCAGCCACTGCAGCCCCCCCACCATGGCTGTGCCCCACATCCCACATCCCCAATCCCAAATCCCAAATCCCAAATCCCCAAATCCCAAATCCCACCCCTGACCCCTTCCTGCCCCCACAGGCTCCTCGTGGGTGCCATGGCTGTGCCCCACATCCCAAATCCCAAATCCCACATCCCAATCCCCACATCCCAATCCCACATCCCAAATCCCAAATCCCAAATCCCACATCCCAATCCCCACATCCCCAAATCCCAAATCCCAAATCCCAAATCCCAAATCCCAAATCCCCAAATCCCAATCTCAAATCCCACCCCTGACCCCTCTCTGCCCCCGCAGGCTCCTCGTGGGTGCCATGGCTGTGCCCCACATCCCCAATCCCAAATCCCCAATCCCAATCCCACATCCCAAATCCCCAATCCCCAATCCCAAATCCCAAATCCCAAATCCCAAATCCCAAATCCCACCCCTGACCCCTCTCTGCCCCCGCAGGCTCCTCGTGGGCGCCGTGCCTGTGCCCCACATCCCATCCCCAAATCCCCAATCCCCAATCCCCACATCCCAAATCCCATATCCCAAATCCCCAAATCCCAAATCCCATCCCCTGACCCCTTTCTGCCCCCGCAGGCTCCTCGTGGGTGCCATGGCTGTGCCCCACATCCCCAATCCCAAATCCCCAATCCCAATCCCACATCCCAAATCCCCAATCCCAAATCCCATATCCCAAATCCCAAATCCCAAATCTCAAATCCCACCCCTGACCCCTCTCTGCCCCCGCAGGCTCCTCGTGGGTGCCATGGCTGTGCCCCACATCCCCAATCCCAAATCCCCAATCCCCACATCGCCAAATCCCAAATCCCGTCCCCTGACCCCTTTCTGCCCCCGCAGGCTCCTCGTGGGTGCCATGGCTGTGCCCCACATCCCCAATCCCAAATCCCCAATCCCCACATCGCCAAATCCCAAATCCCGTCCCCTGACCCCTTTCTGCCCCCGCAGGCTCCTCGTGGGTGCCATGGCTGTGCCCCACATCCCCAATCCCAAATCCCCAATCCCCACATCGCCAAATCCCAAATCCCGTCCCCTGACCCCTTTCTGCCCCCGCAGGCTCCTCGTGGGTGCCATGGCTGTGCCCCACATCCCCAATCCCAAATCCCCAATCCCCACATCGCCAAATCCCAAATCCCGTCCCCTGACCCCTTTCTGCCCCCGCAGGCTCCTCGTGGGTGCCATGGCTGTGCCCCACATCCCCAATCCCAAATCCCCAATCCCCACATCGCCAAATCCCAAATCCCGTCCCCTGACCCCTTTCTGCCCCCGCAGGCTCCTCGTGGGTGCCATGGCTGTGCCCCACATCCCCAATCCCAAATCCCCAATCCCCACATCGCCAAATCCCAAATCCCGTCCCCTGACCCCTTTCTGCCCCCGCAGGCTCCTCGTGGGTGCCATGGCTGTGCCCCACATCCCCAATCCCAAATCCCCAATCCCCACATCGCCAAATCCCAAATCCCGTCCCCTGACCCCTTTCTGCCCCCGCAGGCTCCTCGTGGGTGCCATGGCTGTGCCCCACATCCCCAATCCCAAATCCCCAATCCCCACATCGCCAAATCCCAAATCCCACCCCTGACCCCTCTCTGCCCCCGCAGGCTCCTCGTGGGCGCCATGGCGGCGCTGGCCCCGGCCTTGGCGGCCTGGCTGCTGCTGAGCCCTCGGGGCTGCGGCGCGGCGGCCGACGGCCCCAACGGGACGTGCCGGGGCTCGGCGCGCTGCCAGCCCGGCGTCCTCCTGCCCGTGTGGCAGCCGGACGAGCCGGCGGCCGGCGACAAGGCGGCGCGCGCCATCGTCTACTTCGTGGCCATGATGTACCTGTTCCTGGGCGTGTCCATCATCGCCGACCGCTTCATGGCGTCCATCGAGGTGATCACATCGCGCGAGAAGGAGATCACGGTCACCAAGGCCAACGGCGAGACCAGCGTGGGCACCGTGCGCATCTGGAACGAGACTGTGTCCAACCTGACGCTGATGGCGCTGGGCTCGTCGGCGCCCGAGATCCTGCTGTCGCTCATCGAGGTGTGCGGGCACCGCTTCCAGGCCGGCGAGCTCGGCCCCGGCACCATCGTGGGCAGCGCCGCCTTCAACATGTTCGTGGTGATCGCCGTGTGCGTCTACGCCATCCCGGCGGGCGAGAGCCGGCGCATCAAGCACCTGCGCGTCTTCTTCGTCACGGCCTCCTGGAGCATCTTCGCCTACATCTGGCTCTACCTCATCCTGGCCGTCATCACGCCGGGCGTGGTGCAGGTGTGGGAGGCCTTCCTCACCTTGCTCTTCTTCCCGGCCTGCGTGGTGTTCGCCTGGGCGGCCGACAAGCGCCTGCTCTTCTACAAGTACGTCTACAAGCGCTACCGCGCCGACCCGCGCAGCGGCATCATCATCGGCACCGAGGCCGAGCGCCCGCCCAAGGACCTGGAGGCCGACGGCGGCTTCCCGGCGCTGCCCGAGCCCGAGCCCGGCGCCGCCTCGCCGTCGCCGACGCCCGAGGAGAAGGAGCTGGACGAGAGCCGGCGCGAGGTGATCCAGATCCTCAAGGACCTGAAGCAGAAGCACCCGGAGAAGGAGCTGGAGCAGCTGATGGACGCCGCCAACTACATGGCGCTGGTGCACCAGCAGAAGAGCCGCGCCTTCTACCGCATCCAGGCCACGCGGCTCATGACCGGCGCCGGCAACGTGCTCAAGAAACACGCGGCCGAGGCGGCGCGGCGCTCGCCGGCCGCGCCCGGCGAGGATGACGAGGACGACGAGGAAGACGAGGCTTGCAGCCGCATCTTCTTCGAGCCGTGCCTGTACCACTGCCTGGAGAACTGCGGCTCGGTGACGCTGGCCGTGGCGTGCCAGCAGGGGCTGGGCGCCAACCAGACCTTCTACGTGGACTTCCGCACCGAGGACGGCTCGGCCAAGGCGGGCTCGGACTACGAGTACAGCGAGGGCACGCTCATCTTCAAGCCGGGCGAGACGCGCAAGGAGCTGGCCATCGGCATCATCGACGACGACATCTTCGAGGAGGACGAGCACTTCTTCGTGCGGCTGCTGAACCTGCGCGTGGGCGACGCCGAGGGCATGTTCGAGGCCGACTCCGACGACCACCCCAAGGGCAAGCTGGTGGCGCCGCTGGTGGCCACCGTCACCATCCTGGACGACGACCACGCCGGCATCTTCGGCTTCCGGGAGCGCTCGGTGCGCGTCAGCGAGTGCCAGGGCCACGTGGAGGTGACGGTGGTGCGCAGCTCCGGCGCGCGCGGCACCGTCATGGTGCCCTTCCGCACCGTGGAGGGGACGGCGCGCGGCGGCGGCGTCGACTACGAGGACGCCAGCGGGGAGCTGGAGTTCCGCAACGACGAGACGGCGTGAGCGCGGCGCGGGGAACGCGACGGGGGGAGAGGGGAGGGAAGAGGGGATGGTGATGGTGATGGTGGAGGATGATGATGAGGATGATGATGATGATGATGGTGATGATGATGGATGATGACAATGATGAGGATGTTGATGATGAGGGTGGATGATGATGATGGCAACAATGATGATGTTGACGTCAATGATGATGATGATGATGGATGATGATGATGGATGATGATGATGACGATGAATGATGATGACGATGGATGATGATGATGATGGATGATGATGATGGATGATGATGATGGATGATGATGATGGATGATGATGATGGATGATGATGGATGATGATGATGATGGATGATGATGATGATGGATGATGATGATGACGATGGTGAAGGATGACGATGGATGATGATGATGATGGATGATGATGATGATGGATGATGATGGATGATGATGATGATGATGGATGATGATGATGATGGATGATGATGATGATGGATGATGATGACGAGGGTGGATGATGAAGGATGATGACGTCAACGATGATGACGATGATGACGGTAGCGATGATGGATGATGACAATGAGGATCGATAATGATGAGGATGAGGATGGATAATGATGATGTTGATGCCAATGATGATGATGATGATGATGACAATGATGAGTATGGATGATGCTAATGATGATGAGGATGATGATGATGAAGATGACGATGACGATGATGACGGTAGTGATGATGGATGATGAAGATGAGGATCGATAAATGATGATGATGATGATGACAAGGCTGAGGATGGATGAGGATAATGCCAATGATGATGATGATGATGTCGATGATGATGATGGTAATGATGATGATGATGATGGATGATGATGATGATGAGGGTGGATGAGGATGATGATGCCGATGATGATGAGGATGGATTGTGATAATGATGATGAGGATGATGATGATGAAGATGATGATGATGACAATGATGATGGTAGTGATGATGGATGATGAAGATGAGGATTGATAATGATGATGACGATAATGTTGAGGATAGATGAGGATAATGCTAATGATGATGATGATGTCGATGATGATGATGATGATGAGAATGGATGATGATAATGATGATGAGGATGATGATGATGAAGATGATGATGATGAGGGTGGATGAGGATGATGATGCCGATGATGATGAGGATGGACTGTGATGATACCAATGATGTTGATGATGATGACAATGACGATGATGATGATGATGATGAGTATGGATGATGATAATGATGATGAGGATGATGATGATGAAGATGATGATGATGACGATGACGACGGTAGTGATGATGGATGATGAAGATGAGGATCGATGATGATGATGATGACAAGGTTGAGGATGGATGAGGATAATGCTAATGATGTTGATGATGATGTCAATGATGATGATGACGGTAACGATGATGGATGATGATGATGAGGGTGGATGATGATGGTGATGCCGATGATGTTGATGTCAATGATGACGATGATGATGACGATGATGACAGTAGTGATGGTGGATGATGACGATGATGATGATGACAATGATGAGGACAGATGATGATGAAGGTGGATGAGGATAATGATCATGACTATGATGATGACAATGATGATGAGGGTGGATGATGATGATGATGATGATGATGACTATGATGATGACAATGATGACGAGGATGGACGATGATGATGATGACCATGATGGTGATGATGATGAACAATGATGATGATGATGATGAGTAGGGATAATGATGATGATGATGGACGATGATGTCAATGATGATGATAATGATGAGGGTGAATGATGATGATGATACCAATGATGATGATGATGGTGATGATGATGACGATGATGATGATGATGAGGACGGATGATGATGATGATGATGATGGTGGATGCCGATGATGATGCTGGCCGCGATGCCGAGGGTGCCGCGTGTCCCGCCCCAGGAAGACGCTGCAGGTGAAGATCGTGGACGATGAGGAGTACGAGAAGAAGGAGAACTTCTTCATCGAGCTGGGGACGCCGCGCTGGCTCAAGCGCGGCATCTCGGGTACGGGGACCCCGCGGGGACGCCGGGGGGACGCCGGGGGGACGCCGGGGTCACCGCGGGGTCTGGGGTCTCACCGCTGTCCCTCCCCTCTCTCCTCAGCTCTCCTGCTCGCCCAAGGTAGGAGCCTTCGGCCTCGGACACGTCCCATGACCATGGATGTCCCCATGACCGTGTATGTCGCCGTGTCCCCACGCCGTGTCCTCGTGCCACGTCCCCACCGTATCCCCACACCAATTCCCTGTGTCCCCGTGTCCCCGTGTCCCCAACCTGTCCCCATGTCCCACACCTTGTCCCCGTGTCCCCGTGTCCCCAACCTGTCCCCGTGTCCCCAACCTGTCCCTGTGTCCCCACACTGTGTCCCCATGTCCCCACCATGTCCCACATCCTGTCCCCACACTGTGTCCCCATGTCCCCACACCGTGTCCCCACACCCTGTCCCCACGCCATGTCTGCACGTCCCCACGCCCACGCCATGTCCCCATGTCCCCACACCGTGTCCCCACGTCCCCACACCGTGCCCCCACGCCCCCACACCGTGTCCCCCTGTCCCCACACCATGTCCCCACGTCC